ATTTAAAAAAAAAAAAAAAAAAGATACACACATGCATAGACATGGATGCAAATGCACACAGATGAAAAGACATGCAAGATAACCATCCAGGAGGTGGACAAGCAGGAATTAGAGTAAAGCCAGTTCGCTGAGACATTCCCATTTTGTCTTGAGCCAGCATAACAAATAGCCAGACTACAACCTGCTCGGTACACAGCCATGTTTCCACTTTGATAGGATCTGTTTAGAGTCAGAGGGAGCGAATGGTGGACTTCAGGGACAAAGCTTTAGGAGAAGAAGATCTAATTTTGCATATATCTGAAGTATTGAAAGCCTCTCTCAAATAGTAGAGGCAAACAGGCACTCTACATTTGTAATCCCTGTTATTTTCATCTGGTCCCACCTGATAAGATTCCAACTGATGAAGGATAACTGCAATTTAAAAAGGCAATATTTTGCAGATGAAGAAGGCCACATCAGCAAAAACTAGATGGACATTTAAACACAACTTCATAACACACACACTCACAGCTGCATTATAAGATAACATTTTTGCAAGTCAACCTAATGCTGAATTCAGTAGAGTAAAAAGAGCAGCCAAACTCAAAAGCATGTTAGGAAAGAGCTAAAAGTATCATAATTACATCAAATTCAATATTTTTATGTCAATGCTCTGGTTAGACTTCTACTGCCTATCTCCAGAAATGCATTTATAATAAATAATATCAAATCCTGTCTCCAGCTGCATGTTCAAGACAGTAAGGACCAACAGCAGCTAAAGTTATTCGGCAGAGTGGATGGCAGTGAGAGAGCAATTATAACTGATAAGGTCAGAGGAGATCTGCCGCTTGAGATCCGTTATGGCTCAGCACGGCTCCGTACAACCATGACCTGTTTACAAGAAGGGCTTGATATCACTCTTAAATACTATTTGAGTAACCAATCTGTGTCGCGCACACCAAGTATTAAACACTGTCATATACCAAAGGGTGGCACAAAATTGAGGGTTGGTTAAGGTAATATACTATATCAACACATTGGTAGGGATACTGCCCAATAGACAATAATTAGACAGAATGAAACTTAGGCAGCCATAACAGGACAAAAATAGCATCAGTCCCGCTCACAACAAGAAAGCAAAGTGAAAAAGAAAGTGAGAGCAAAGAAACACAAAGAAGAAGCAAGGAACTAGAGAGGGGAGAGGGACAAGGGAGACAAAGTTGTGCAGCAGTCCCCTCGTTGTGTAGCCCTTCATGTGTGAGTCAGTCTCTTTAGTGGTTAAATTCAGGCTAAAATGTCCTCAAAACTCCAGGCCTCCTGCCACTGCTCAGCCTACTGCGGCATGTGTTTAACAGGGTTTGTGTCTCTTTGTGAGAGAGATTCAGGCATCAGTCACGAGTGACCCTCTATGTACAGTCTCCATATCAACACTGTTTGTGTTTGACTGCTCTTGGTGGTGGCTACTTCCCCTACACAAGAGCTGTGATTACAACACAGCAGGAACCACATGGCAAATACACTCATAACAATAAGAAGAGGCACTTTTGCACTACTTCCTCTAATGGTGTTCTGTGTACAACAAAAAAGGCACGTTGCTCAATCTACACGGTGAAGTAGTGCCTGCCACTGAGATTTGAGTTTAACACTGTCACAAATTATCCTTGTCTTTTATCTCCTTCTCACACAGTCATGGACACAGTCAGCTAGTCAGGTGCTAGCCAAGCTCACATCTACAACACCCACTTCAACCAACTGCCAGCAAGATTAGAAACACCTAATATATAAAAAGTCTTTATCAAGCACACATTATATGCAACATTATTATCAGTGTTTCAACACAACTTGTCAAGCTCAGGGACGTTTTATATTACTCCAAGTAGTATTAGAGAAAGCTTTATGGAGTCGATACAGATTACTAACTTTGAATTTCTTCTTGTAGTGACAGAGCCAAGGCTGGGAAGGCATCAGAGGAAGAATGTGACGACATGTGACTTCGCAGTTCCATCTGTGCTTTATGGATGTGCCAGACGCACGCATAAAGTTACCCTGGCAACTGAGCAACAGCACTGTTTGGAGGTCACAGAGAAAAAGCTTGATGCAGACTAAAACGCTTCTAGAATATGTACAGGACCCAGAGGGAGGCTACAAGATAACTGCTTCTAGGAACATTTTGCATAAACTGTGCAGTGAACATGATGTATTGGAGAGCAGACAAACATAACCTGAGAAACACCAGGGGCTGAACCTGACGACGCAAAAGCCCTATAGTGTTTTATCCCTTTCTCTTATAAACACACAGCTCCGATTCTGAGAGGGGAGTTTCATTTCACACACACAGATGTAATCTCTAACTAATCACATTTGCAGGCCTTGGACAGAGCAGCTACACCACAGTACTGAACAGATGGGCTCACGTACACAAGGCATCTCTGGGATTAGCCTGGCCCGGAAGGTGGAGGTGGTATGTACAGTTACCGAGGGACATTCTCTGAAAAGTTGCTGGTGCTCAAATGCCTTTGAGATGAGTCTTATCCAAGTAGGTGTAATCATTCAGAGACAGAAAAACTGGAATTGCATCTATGAACATAAATCATCTGAATGATTTTTCTCCCTCTAAATACAACATGACCACATGTTTTGATTAAGAACTTTTGGCTTACACACTTGAAAAGACAAAGAATTTAGCAGTAGATGATTATGTGTTATACGCAAAGTATTGTAATTGAGAATAAAAACAGTGCTCTAACTGAGTGAGCTTCAGCAAAACCTCCAGGTGCTCACACTGTTTCTGTTGGCAAGCAACAGTTACTCAACATGACGTTTTTGTTTAGAGTCAGGAAGAGAAACTAAGAACAGGATAAACCCAAAAATACACAATTATAATTCAATGCAGCATTTGTAAATAGGCATACAGATGGGGCTTGTGTTGCTTAAGACGCACAGTGCAAATGTGCATTATGGATATAATACTGAATCAACCATATTTTATTGGATTAAAACCTAAGCCCTAGTACTAAGACTACTTGGGTAAACATTTCAGATGTACCCTTTACACCTACTGACCAATGTCCTGCAGACTAAACTTTCTCTGATAATTTATAACAACTAGAAGTATTCTCCTTTGGTTCAGCCTGAATCAGATGAAGTAAAAACCAAAAGGAATTCCAAACAGATTCTTTCTCTGACATGTGGAGGACTGAAGACCTCCGACATTTGGAAAGAATTAGGTTTCATCTCCTATTTTGGGATAAACTTTAACTGTAGTATTATCTGACCACTCAATCAAACAATGCTTTCAGAACTGGTATGACTGCAATTGTGAAGACTATCTAATGAATAAATACGTTCTGCATCTATTTAACTAATCAAAGAAGACTGCTGAAGCCAAATGAGATTGTTTGTGCCTTTCCTGCAAAACACTACACCGCAGCACTGTAAAAGCACGCAAGTCATGAGTCTGAACCAGTGACCTCTGGGTCATATGTTAAGTGTTGAGAACAGCAGCTCCACACAGCCATACTAAATATCGATATGGAACATTCCTTAGACCCCTTTAAAATGGGGTGAGAGGGGCGTGCAACAGCAACGTCACACAGGACATTGACAATGAATGTGTTAGATGGGAGGTTTGAGCAGAGGGAGGCTTTGTTTAAGAAAAAAGGCGGACTAATAATGAAGGGCGTGAATTCAGCCTTAAATTAATTCTGCTTGACAGCGGATAGAACTGCCGTACTCACTCATGTGTGAGTGGGTTAGTTCTATTATCTACAGATAACCTACCAGGGCATGTTTGCAGATATTCCTGGGTTCACAAATTAACATGCAACTGTGACCACAGTTACAGGACCATTCACAGATCCATTTGTCAGGAAATGGTCAACATAGCTTCATCTCAGCTGTGATAGAACAACTAAGATACCTCCTAAAGTTTGAAAAATGTTAGGTCTGTATATTAATTCTGAACCATATTCTGGCGTGTATGGTTTAGAATTACAGGAAATTGAAGGCTATCACTTATTTAAAGTGATATTAATGATCGACAAATTAGATTACATTAATGCAGGTAGAGAGTTATGTAGAATAGACTGTTGACTGCTGTTAGTGAAATGTGAAAGGCTTATTTAAGAAACTGAACTTGGGAGGATACTCTCTTTTTCATGCTCTGAAAGTTCCCCTCATTTAAATATTTTTAGGGAGAAAACTGATGGTCACCAGACCCAAAACATAACCTCATGACTCGTCTGTTGTAGCTTTTCTGCAACCAAGACGTGCTACGGCTGAGACAAGATAGACTATGACTGTATACTGTATTGTTCGTGGGTGAACCCACGCCACACCCAAAGCACTCCCCGGAGGTTAACTGTGCAGGGGGTTCACCGCCAATGAGCTATCCTGAGCAGAGCGCCTGCAGTAGGTATGGTTGCTAAATGAGCTCTGCTGGGCTAACAGCAAAAATTGGTCGACACAAAGTCCCCCGTCTCCCTAAACAGAAGCAAACTGTGTAGCGACTATAGTAAACAAAGTAAGACTGCACAGGAGAAATCACAAAACGCTAACTCACTGACTAACCTCACTCTTTTCTTAACGGTTTCCATATTAGCATGTCTTAACTCACGCTAGCTTGAAACGTTAGCTTGGTAAGGGAGCGCATGATTTATTACTAGCATTATATCAAACTCCTCGGTGCTGCTTCTTGGTGTGTGGTGGGGCGACTGTGTCTTCACGTGGGTGGAGGAGGAAAATAAAATAATGGCTACAATAAACTACTGCACCCAGCTACAGATAGTCTGCATTGCAAGAACCGGACCAGTCCCGGTGTTTGCACGCCTCCGTGTCCCCTCCTCTTGATGGATGCCGATTTACTCTGATAAGGGAGCATCCTGCCCATAAAAACAAACACACCCAAACCGTTCGTGGGGCTTAATGTTACGTTAGCTAACTATATCGACGACTGGGGAGGGATTTTCTAAATGATGTCGCAAACGATAACAAACTTTGCCTTATATTGTCCAGTAACTCACCGAAGTGCGCGGTATTCTTCTTTCTTCTCCTGATATTCCAGTGGGTACATCAGAATACAGCAGACAGCTAACAGTTTTTAGGCTAACGCTCAGGACACGACGATGCGCTTAGCAACAGCTGTCCTCTGTTTTGAATGAGGGCTGAGGAGACGCACGGCTAACGGGCGGAGCTTCCAGCGAGCGAGCGGACCAGCTTGCCCATCATCTACAGCAGCCCGGCTTAGTTCAGTTCTTTATAAATAGACACATTTTGTCTCTGTCAACAGTATTTTCAATTTCTTAATACAGTGTCGATTCAAATCTGGATAAATAGGACTCGCAGACCCCCGGTCTTGTGTAGAGGGAAAAAGCGCCCTGAGATTTGAAACGGGCGCAAAGTTCATGTCTTCGATTCTGACTCCCTCTTGTGGTCCAACCATCGTCTTATCCACACAAGCTCTCGTGATTGCGAAAGTGTCCAGTATTATGTACAAGTGTTTTCTAGGCAAAATCCCACCTAATAATGTCAAAATGATGTTCGCCTGTTATAATCACATTTTGCTCATCACTGATATAGTCGACTTCTCCAGAGCTTCACATTTTAAGGCAGCAGTGCAATTTTCCACTAGTTTGTCAATTACTATGAAGTTTTGTTGAAAGAAAATAATATCACATATTGTGTTCTAATAGCAGCATACTCCATACTAACTAGAAGGACACTCAAATTCATAGTAAATGATCTGGATCTGCCCCAAAACGTAATATGTTCTTCTCTGGCACATGCCCAATCCCTCCACCAACTTCAGTGCAAATCGGTTCAGTACTTGTGTAATCAGTGCAATCCTGCTGACAAATAAACAAGCCAACATAAACAGACACAGGTGAAAGCACAAACTCCATGGTGGAGGTAATAACACACACACAGTACCGTTTGAAGGATGCACATGATGATATGAGATTTCAAACTGCCCTTTAAACCTAGAGCTTGGGCCTAAACATTTCTTTATCAAAGACCATCGACAAAAGCATAACTAATAACCAACTTTTGTATCCGAGTCAATATTCATTTTATTGTTTTTACATTTATTGTACACATTTCTCTGAAATCTACTAATAGAAATGGTCAGGTTAACACTGCTCCCTGAATGTCAGTCTACAGACTGTAATGAGGTTGCACACATCCATTTGACCATTCTGCTTTTAAACAACAGATCATCTCTGACCTTTGAACCCCAAGACCAGGTTTTGTTTGTATACACATATACTTGTTCACTCAAACAAACTGACTAAACACATGTGCATCAAAATCAAAACAATGATAATATGATAAAGTGTCACATTCACTCTGCAAATTTGAGCTGCCTTTCTTTCTCTAAACCATGCAGTTCCCTCGCTCGATTCTTCAGCTCCTCTGCTTTCTTCTCATCCTTCTCTGTACCATCCCCCAGTTTGTACATGCGACTTGCATTTGCGCAGCCCCATACATGTCCCAGCTCACAAGCCCTGTTAGCATACTTCAAAGCTAGAGTCATATCTGGTGCCAGCCCTTTGGAATTGCCCTCAATGAACAAAGCACTGAGGTTAAAGCATGACGGAGCAAAGCCACCAGCACAGGCCTTCTCATAGTACTGCCGAGCAGCCGTTAGGTCAGGTCCCCCGTCCATAGCTCGTCCATCATGGGCTAACAGACCAACGTTATGGCAGGCATCTACAGACTTCTTTCCTCCGGTGTTGCAGGAGCGCATAAAGCAGGAGTAGGCTGTTTTCAGACACTCGGTCACTCCACCTGGTGGAAATATTTAGGAGATTAACAGAGGTGTATATGCAGACCTTTATGCATTTTATGAAGATAAGTAATGTAGAAGGTATTCAAATCCCTCCCTGATGCAGTCACGATTTTATGTAAGCAAAAGTACACTAAAATGTACCTAAGTATCAAAATTAAAAGTATAAATTTAAAGAATTAAATTAAACTATTGTTGTGTTCACATTTAAACAATATTCTGATTTTTTTTACTACATTATTATTATCATTATTAATATTAAACAGCGAATATTTGCATTTTGCTTGTAAAACTTTATCTCTCACTGTGATCAGTAACATACATTGTACTTTGCTTACATTATAGCATACAAGCAAAGTATCAGTAGTTTCAACCTGTTGTCAACATCTAGAATTTCGTCCCAAACACCAGAGAGGGTAAAAAAAAAAAGAGAGCAATAAGCCACATTGCAAAGGTAAGCCACATTACCTTTTCCTGTGACATGGTACGCGCCCAGTTTATAGCAGCTCTCTCCATGTCCATGTGTTTCACAGTTATGTTTGAGCACTTGTGCTGCATTCTCATAGTTTTTTTTCACCCCTTCCAAGTAGTCCGCGAGCCTTTGGCACCCTAAGAAAAACATGATGGAAACACAATGAGGGAAATATAACTAACACAAATCAAACATTTTAGTTTGCATTTCGAGCTGAGCTTAAGCAGCACCACTGATGTGAACAGTAGAAGTATGTTACCTTCAGGATCCTTCTCTTTGTAGCACTGGAAGCTGTACTCCACTCCCAGATTGTCCAAAAACTGCTTCACTTCATTTTCATCTTTAAAGTTTACAAGTCCAGCCATATTTCAGCTTGCACTTCTGCGTTTTAATTTTACAACAATCACATGTGTTGGAGACTTAGCTCCCACCACATCCACTGCTACTTGTGACCTTGGTGAACGAGTTAACAAGCGATGTTACAAAAGCCTTTTTTTTTTTTTACATAAACAACACAATTGAATAGAGCTGATTACCGTTAATCGTTAAGTTCTCATAAAAAACAACTACAGCTGGTCATGTAGTAGATTTCCATTGAAAGAAACGGAGAACAGCATGTTCATATGTGTTCCTAGTTTAATAACCTTCCTTAACAGGCTTCCGTAGTCCAGCCCCCTTCCTAATGTACTTCCAGTGCTGTGACCTTTATTTACGGTTTGTCTAGTCTAGTCAAAAATAGACCTAGCAGCTCCCCGTGAAAACTATATCCCTCACTCGGTACCTGAATTCAGAGCTTCGGTAGTCGCAGTGATTAGTCAATATCTTTTTTTAAACATGAATTCCGCCTTTGCAGACTGCTGTCTTCATGTTTGCACGGAGAGCGATTTCCCACAACGGAAGCAACAACAAGTGAGCTAGCTAGCTGGTTCGCCGCTAACGCTGGTCGGTGATAGATTAACATAACATCAGGCTCCCAGACAGGTGAACACTGCAAACTGAAGCGGCTTAAAACGGAGCCGCTCGACGGCTAGCTACTTTAGCGGTAGTTTTTCGTGGTGAAAAAAGACACCAGTCTCGATTGCATAAGCTAATACTAGAGTGATTTTTTTTAAAGCCATGACCATGGCCTGCAGTTCCCTAAGCACGGTAAGCTTCGGTTTGCCTTCAGGTGACATCTTTTTAAGTGCTCATGTTATTACTGGAAATTGCACAACAATAAATGATGTTGATTAACTGCATCTACATTATCAAACATCATCTTTGTGTTTTCAGGATGAGGCATCTCCAGCGGCTCTGACAGACCTGTGCCTGACCTATGTGAGCCAGAATCTGGAGTTTTTCTGTGTGAAGCGCCCTGACGGCTCCCTGTGCTTCAGAGAGGCTGTTCTCTTCCCACAGGAGCTAGCAGACCAGCTGCTGGCCAAGATGGCCACAGAAGGTAAACCTTGACCTCACAGGACACTCCTGAGCAGACAACAACCACCACAAGATCTATGCTCCAGCTTTTTGCTTTTAATTTTTACGTGTGGAACTGTCAGATATCAACCTGAACTATCATCTTGATGAAAATAAAAATTTCCCAATTTATATACATCTCCTGAGTGTCTTTTGACAGATTATATACCCTTCTAAGAAAAGGGGGGGGGGAGTGTGAAATCTGTGAGCGACTTAACCTAATGGTATGTTGTCACCTAAACTAACAGCCTAGATAAACAGATGCACTATTGTGCAAAGCTCAGTCCTGTTGAGTCCTGCATGGACCCAAAGATAAACTTTAACACAAGCTCATTATGGTACAGGTCTGCTGAATGACAGCACAGTGGGTGTATTTCGGAACTGCGAATACCTGCGTCTGAGACGAGCCTGCATCCGTACGGCGCGTATCTCTGCAGAGGCCTTCCAGAAAGCTCTGTGCCCTCACAGACTGTTGGAGCTGGATGCTGCCAGGGTCAATGCAGACCTCACTATTCATGATATTCTACAGGGACTGGCCACCAATAAATACTGTCAGGTAAAGTGAGAGTATGTTAACTTGTGTTAGTTAACCACCCTTTCCTCACACTATAATGAAATAAAATAAAATTGTTTTGTTTTGCTTTTCTCCAACACCCTGCAGGAGTCCCTCCAGCGACTTGGCTTAACAGGTCTCACCATGTCCTCTCTGGAGGAACCGATCCGGTATCGCTTCAGCTCCCTCCAGGGCCTTCGCTCTCTCTCTCTAGCCAATGTAGACTTCTATGACTCTGGGCTAGTTGACGTGTGTTCCCTGCCTCGACTGGAGAGCCTTGATCTATCCAACACCTCAATCACCAACCTCAGTCCGCTGCTTGGCCTGAAGGAGCGGCTGCGCTCGCTAACACTGCACCAGCTGAAGAGGCTGGAGATGAGTACTGCCCAGCTGCTGGGAGTCATACACCAGCTGGATGTATTGCAGGTTAGTCGAAGGGTGGAGCTGAGTGTTGAGTGTTGCGCTGTGTGCTATTGCTTATTGTTAAACTTGTTTCTATTTTTGTTATTACGCTTTGAGAAGAACGCTATCTCTTGCTTGTTTGTTTGCAGCACCTGGACATCAGTGATGATAAACAGTTTACCTCTGATGTAGCTCGTCAGCTGCTTGGACAGCCAGGGATCCTGCCTGCTCTTGTTTCCCTGGATGTGTCAGGGAGGAAACAGGTGTGTGTGTGTGTGTGTTTGTGTCTGTGTGATTGTATTTGTATTTGTATTGGTCGGTGAGTGTTTCAACTAGATTGTAAAGAAAGCATACAGGCTACCGAGTCAAGTTGTCAATTCTTACACATGTAAATGTTGCAGGTTACAGATGCAGCTGTTACAGCATTTGTGAAGGAGAGACCAGGGATGACCTTTGTGGGACTTCTGGCCACAGAAGCTGGTTTTTCTGACTTCCTCTCAGGAGAAGGAAATCTAAAGGTAGTATAGATGTGTACGTTAACACATTAACTGTGCTTAGAAATTTAGGTTGGCTAAACTGTGTTTTGTGTGAGCAGGTAACAGGAGAAGCCAATGAGACCCAGATCTGTGAGGCACTACGGCGCTACAGTGAGAGGGAAGGCTTTGTGAGGGAAGCTCTGTTTCATCTGTTCAGTCTGACACATGTCATGGAGAAACCAAGGCCTGACATCCTTAAGGTGAACATGATTTTACTTGGAAATTTTGTATTTTTTCTCATTTCATTAACACAGTTTCTTTTGCTTCATGTCTAAGAAAACAGTGTAGATTATTATGAAATAAAGTTATATCATGCTTAAGAAATGTAAATCTGAATAGCGATTGCAGCTCAGGACCACTGTTTTTTCTGATAAGTGATGGAGCCACATTTCCTCTTCCAGAGTATTATGGCAAAGCCCTACAACCCTACTCCAATTCTGTACACTTCAAGTTCCTGAATAATCTCACTTAGCACAGTATTACAACATAGCTTCCTTTTTTTCTTCCTTCTTTTCCCAGTTGGTAGTTTTGGGTATGAAGAATCACCCTGCCACTCTGAATGTTCAGCTGGCAGCAAGTGCCTGTGTGTTCAACCTGACAAAGCAGGACCTGGCAGCAGGGATGCCAGTCCGACTGTTGAGTACCGTCACTCAGCTCTTACTGGAGGCCATGAGGACTTTCCCCAACCACCAACAGGTAGTTTCATGTCTGCACTGCTGTCTTGGTGGCGTACGTCCTTCATACCATATCAGTCACAATTTTTGAGCTACATAGACATGAGAATATTTTTGTGTACACATTTTACTGCCTGTAGAACAAACAGGACTCTGAAAGCGTTGTTCAGGTTTTGAACTGATGTCCACTTTGTTTCCCGTGTCTGCAGCTGCAGAAGAACTGCCTGCTGTCCCTGTGCAGTGACCGCATTTTGCAGGAGGTTCCGTTCAACAGGTGTGAAATACACATTTTACAATAGTATTTTTAATATTATTTTAATAGGTAGATATAGGGTATCCTTCAAATGGTTACAAAGTCATTTAAAAAGAACTAAGTATAAAAGACATAAAGAGTTAAGGTGTGTCAGCGGAAGCAAAGCAGGAAACCAAAACATAAAAAGATTGACTGCTCATAATGTAGCAGTTTCTCTGCTGTGTTTACAGTAGACATGTTTTGCTCTGTCTCTCTGTTTTCAAGGTTTGAAGCAGCCAAACTAGTGATGCAGTGGCTCTGCAACCATGAAGACCAGAACATGCAGAGGATGGCTGTGGCTATCATTTCCATACTGGCTGCTAAGGTTCAGTATATGTTGTCTTGTATTAATATCACGTATGTTGTTGTTAATGAATTCTTTGCACATTTGTAGGGCTTAAACTTTTTACTGTTTGCTTTTTCAAGTTGTCCACAGAACAAACGGCTCAATTGGGAGCAGAACTGTTCATAGTGAAGGTAAGAAGCTCATCTCAGCTGTGTTCTCTCCCACTGTTACTAATTTACCAAAAAAGGCAAATTTTTATTGCAAATATTCCCTCTCTACCGCGCAGCAACTGCTCCACATTGTGCGTCAGAAGGCTACTCAGGGCGTGGTGGATGCCACCCTCAAATTTACACTGAGCGCGCTCTGGAACCTCACGGATGAATCGCCAACAACCTGCCGCCATTTTATTGAGAACCAGGGGCTGGACCTGTTTATTACAGTTCTAGAGGTACACAGAAATGTCCACATGTACCTATAAATACACAAAAACAGCTAAGAGCAGATAACCATACTAGCTAATCATCACACTCAAGCATGTGTTGCTCTGAATAAGGATGTATGTCTTTAGCACAGGTTGACTCACTGTTGTTTTGTTCCCACCCCCACCCCCCAACCCCCATCCACTTCCACCACACTCTCTGCAGTCCTTCCCCAATGAGTCTTCTATTCAGCAGAAGGTTCTTGGTCTGCTGGTGAGTTCACTGCTCTGTAATTACCCTTTAGAGAAAGTGAATGTTGAATAAATTTACAATATTAAGACATTATCGTTCCCCTTTCACCTTTTGTTGTGTAGAATAACATAGCGGAGGTCGGAGAGCTGCACGGAGAGCTGATGGTGCAGGGGTTCCTGGACCACATCAGCACTCTGCTGCACAGCCCAGAGGTGGAGGTCAGCTACTTCGCCGCAGGAATCCTTGCACACCTGACATCACGAGGAGAGGAAGCCTGGACGCTCAGCCCCAATCTTCGATCCTCGCTGTTAGAGCAACTGGTAGGAATGAGCAAAACTACTCATAACTGCACATAAATACTGTACACACTTATTTCGGAAAGTTGGTTTGAGTTTTATACATGTCTTTGTCTCTCTAGCATGCTGTCATTATGAAGTGGCCCCCACCAGATTGTGAAATGGTGGCCTACAGGTGAGCTGCAGCTTCTCTCTATAATAATAAAAAAGAATGAACACAATTACACAGAGGCAAGTAGGCCCATACCTTACTCAGGTGTGTCACTAGAAAGTTTTTTTCTTGCTCTCTAGAGACCAGAATAGACTTTTATAGCTCATGTGAAAGAATGATGATTTCAAGCTTTGACAGAATTCGAAAGATCCAATTGAAGAAAGCACCTTGAAAAGCAAATCCATAAAATAAATCCTATGTGCACAAACGCGACATATCATATTCTCTCATTCTGTAGGTCATTTAACCCCTTCTTTCCCCTGCTGGAGTGCTTTCACACGCCTGGTGTTCAGCTGTGGGCAGCATGGGCCATGCAGCATGTCTGCAGCAAGAACGGTGAGACACAGATACGTACACCTACAAAACCAAGTGTTATGTTTCGTTATGTTAACCCAGCCACTGACTCACCTACCCAAACCGCTCACAGATGCGATTGTGTGTTAACCCTTATGTCTGCAGCCGCTCGCTACTGCAGCATGTTGTTGGAGGAGGGTGGCCTGCAGCAGCTGGAGCACGTTCATACACACCCACAGACCCACAGAGACGTCAAACTGCTGGCTGAGAGTATTCTGGACAGCCTGCAGCGCCACAGAGCCCGCACCGGCCAGCCTGCACACACACACACAAGTCGCCGCCCACCACCACCACCACCACCACCACCACAATAACCTCACCAAGGTAAAGACACAGACTACTTGTGATTTGCATCCGAGTCTCACACTGGCTGGAGATTTTTCATTCTTTTACATTTTTTTTCTCTTTCAGAACATAAGGCCCCCTGACCAGGAAGAGGACATTAGAATGGGCCGCACCACCACTAAAGGGGATTTTGTATGTGTGCGTGAGTGTCTGTGGTCTGCATATCTCACGCACAAACACACTTGATCAAGGATCCCCAGAAAGTCTACTTTAAAGGACAAAGACTACGCAATTCTTTGCACACACACACACACACACACACACACACACACACACACACTCACACTCACACACTAACATTATTTATTTTCTTTGTGTTTGTTTCAAGGCAGGAATATTTCTGTGTGCTAATGTTGTGATGAAAAATTGAATTATGATAAGCTGTTGGTCAGTTAAGCTCAAATCTCAACATGAGGTTTGTGTTTGTGCTCACTCTCGTCAGTGTGACTTTGGCATCATGATGATTCTCCTACCAAAAAACATGTCAGTGCACACATACAAATCTCAGTTTGTGATTGAACCCTCAGAAGTTCACTCTCCAGCCCCCATATGTTACAGAGGCCTCTGGTTGTCTGAATTGGTTGATTAGCTCATTAAATATACGCATGATGCTGCTGTGAGCTCAAGCATGCTGGAGTTTGTCTGAATGCTTGTACTGTTCATTTTAGGACTGCCTGCTTGTTTGTTTATAGCAGTGTTTTGTTCACTGAAGCCCACGCCTCTGGGTCTGCAATACTACTGTTGCTCTCCTATTCATTTAGACTTTTATCAGCTAATGCCTTTGATTTGATGTGACAGGACATTTGCTGAGGGTGTGTTCAGTGGTTCAAATGTTACAGACATTAAAGATGAAAACCTAAATTTTAGAGAAGTTATATCTCTTTAAGCACCAGTGCTTTTTCTTTTCTAAACATTTGGCAGCCCTAAATCAGCCATATCAGTGGCAAAGCCAGCAGTGCTGTAAATCAGAAAACCCAGAGTGGGATTCACGATTAGTTGAAATTATGTCTGGTTAAGTGCAAATGTCCTTTCTGGACACAAATGGCAATAATGATGTGGTCAGTATAATCATGATGGATGTACAATTGTGTATTGAGTCACAGCTGTTTCCTCTTTAAGAAACTTGTGTATATATTGGTATGTTCGCTGTGCATCCCAACACGTCCAGGTGTCTAAAAGACAGTGACAGCACTTCGCTGTGAGCATGTGTATGTACGTCTGTACAAGTATCTGCATCTTAAAGAGTGTATGTAATTTGTACATAATAGAAAATGCGAGAGGAATATTAATTGTTCAGGACTGGTTGAACTGGTTGCATGGAAATTATTCTATTGTATGTTCCATTGTGTGTTTTGTCTTTTTCAGTTTATCTGATTAAGAAATACTTAAAGAACAAACGAGGGAGAAATGGAGAAGAAGCAGTGTTTATCCAGGAGTGAGTAGAGGGTGCTTTTGGAAATATTCAAGAGTATCTCTTTTCTGAAACCACTAATGTGTCATTAGTGTCCTCCAGGATGCCATTTTACCAGGTACACTTCTGTTGTCCAGAGAAGATACCATGTCACCTGTAACAGCTGACCCTGATGCCAACACTCCCCTCCTGCAGCTCTCATTAAGGCCCCGTCACCATTCTCTATGCAATCAAAAGTAACGTTACTTTTACAAACCGACCGTGACGACACTTCAGCTGGAATAACAATGACAGGTCCCAAGACTTGTATAGAAATACCTGTTTATGAAAATAAATGTAATATATTGGGCTACAAATGGTACTGGGAAATAGCTGTTAACAAAAGAGACATCTCCTCATCTTCTGAGTGAATTATGGCCTTGTTTTTCTGTAAATTCATTGATGATGAGCTTGCAAATTTTTTGCATGTCCCAAGCTGACCTCATTAGTTTCAACATGGGCAAAGAGATGACACAGAACTTGTTTTTGTTCTTTTCTGTTGCTTCTTCTGATACGTTGGATTGTTTAGTTGAGCCCCTGAACATCTCCCGGGATGAAAGCCAGTTTGTTTTTTAACAAGAATTTAATTCAGATGGAAAATGCAAAATGTCAAGATACTGTATGTCTGCTATGACTGTGCCATGTTGCTGCTGAGAGTCACGTTTTCAAGTTTGGAAAAATAAAGAATGTACATTCCCATAAACTGGAGACGACACTGGTGTTGCCTTTTTATTCAGTCAAAGATATCAAGTATCAACAACTAATACCAAAATCAACTAATAACAAAATCTTTCATCATATTTTGCTCTTGTGATTTGTACCAAACTAAAAAAAAATCACCTTTTGTCAGTTGAATCCTGAATATCACCAGTCAGGATTAGACTGACCTTAACTAATGTATTGACACTGTCTCGAATACACACCAGACAATCAATGGCTGTTAATTGTGTATCAGACATGAAGTTATAGAGAGCATTGTGCATCTGTGTGTAAGAGAGAAATTCAATAACTCAGAAGAGTCTATTCCCCAGTGTAGCGCGGAGGTCTCTTCTCTATGAAGGCAGCCATACCCTCCTGTCTGTCCCGCGTGGGGATAACCTGCAGAGAGCGGGGCAAGGGTTACAGCAGGGCAACAGCGGGCAGCTTCAGAGGGATTAGACTGAGCATCAGTTGAACCCGACTGAATTCTCCTCACTGCTTTATACTGGGTATTTTTTTCATGGGTACCAACACATGAGAATGAGCCAAGTCTTTTGTTGTTTTGGAATTTTAAGTTGAGAAAAAAAAAAAGTTTGACTCAAACACTGGAAGCCTTACCCGAGCATAGCACATCCTCTCTATAGCCATCGCTGAAGTGATGTCAACCTAGAAAGAGTTGAAAGACTGATTTTAGTCACTATGGTCACTGATGGAAAATAATGAGAAAACATGATGTATGAGTCATTGTCTACCTCAACGCCTCTGTTCATTGCTTCTTTTGCCATCCGCAGAGCGATAGGAGCCTGGGCAACAGAAATGAAACTCATCAGGGTTAGAGGGAAAAAGGTTTGACATGAGACCCTGCGACCCCAGGCGACTGTACTGGCACCATGAAGGTAAGAAAAAATGTAGAGGAATGACCAAAATAAATCAAGAGACATTTATTTTCCTAATGCAGCATAAACTTTAGATAACAGTGTAAATTCAAGGCTCATGCAAAATCCAGTGAATATGACCTCATAACATATTGTAGGAGCTATTTATTTGTTGTTAGTATTTAGTTGTTGTTTTATTAATAATTAGTATTGTTTGATTCATTATTCTAGATGTTTGCTTTATTTAGATTAGATTTTTGATAGTATTTTCTTTTGCTAGTAGTTTTTTCAGTTTAGTTATTTCCTTATTTAGCATATTTAGTTTTTTGCGTAACTAGTACTTTGTTTGTTTTTGTTTTTCTTATGAATTGGGAAACACTGTGGGCACCTGAGGTTATATAAGTAGGAAGGCAGGCATAGGACCAGAATGCACCTGGGTGGGCCTATGGTTTTTTTTTTTTTTTTTACCAGAGCAAGAGAGAGATGCAGGAAACAGGATCTCTTTGTATTTTTGTTTGCTTACTTGTTTTTGACAAATAAACCATAAGAAACGCAGAAACTTCTTTTGCCTGCGTACACCACATGCCCGTGGTGCGTTACTGGCCCCTTTGATTCTAAGTTTCATCTAAGTTTGATTTTGTTTTTATTTGTTTGGTTTTTTTTTTTGACAAATGGTCACTACACATATAATACTGCAATCTGAGCAACAGATGCATGGCACTGAATAAGTTGTGAACCAGATGAATAACAAGTAAATAATATAAACTACTCCATTTGAATGAGCAGTTTTAACCCACTGCTTCAGCGTATTTTGACCATAACCACAGATTTGAGTGTCACTAATCCAAATTTATTCAAACAGAAATAGTAAGCTGATGGCAACAATGACGACAGAACTTTCACTCAACTGTTTATCGAGTGTAGATAACCAGATAATCAGTTATGTATACGTTCTACGGCGTAAAACATTTGCATATATGAGTTATTGTTTTGCCAAATGAGCACTGATATAAGCTGCCGTTAGCCCTCATTTACTAACGGGGAAATGACATCTGTTGTTGGATGCAATCCCAATTTAATGGAACTAATCAAAACAAAAACAAATGAAACATATAGAAACATCACCTGTAAAACGTCGGCCTTCCAGTGAGCAATGTCGAAAAATCTGCTTCCAAAGTTCAACCTGATTCCCAACCCCTGGCTTGGGAGCTCACACCGCTTATCATCTCCTACATCCCATTTCATTTTACATCAATGCAAACCTCTGTCAATCATTGAATCCACACCAACATGAGCATGTGTCTGTGGATGTGTGTGTGTGTGTGTTTGCGTGTGCTGAGCTATTTGTGGTCCATTTCTGCACTTGACTGCCACTCCGGCCCTGCCTGACTGCAGGCGTCTCAACTGGAGTGAAAGAAATGTGGAACGACAGAAGCCTGGAGAGAGGGAAAAGAGGAGGGAGAGGGAGAGAGAGGGGAAGGTGGGAAGAAAAAACACTAGGAAGAGAGGAGGGCAGAATGAAAAGAGGCAGACAAGAAGCAGAGGAGATAGGACGAGGTAAGAGAGCTGGTCGCCGCCTGGAGGAGGAGGAGGAGGAGGAGGATGGAGAAAGGATTCATCATTATCTGAGCTGTGGCTGAAAACGTGTGTGTTTGTATTCTAACCTGGGGCAGTATCTCTCTGGCCAGGCTGAGTGCCTCTCCGTAGGCAGCGTCTCCTGTCTGGTTCTGCTCTACAGCTCTGTTTACGAGCCCCATCTCCAGAGCTGTCTGTCCTCCCACACGCTTACCTGATAACAGACAGACAGAGAGAGACAGTGATACGCGAAACCTCCGCTGACCGACAAGCATCCTGTGTCTAAAGCAACATGTCAGCGTTTCTGTAACTCCACCTGTGAAGATGAGCTCCTTGGCCAGAGTGATGCCAACCATCCTCGGCAGCCGCTGACTGCCCCCTGCAGGACAAACCACTTCAAGGTCAAGCTCTCACAGCTGCTTTGTCTCTTGACTAAGACTCTCAGTACAGTGCAAGGTCATTTTTGTGACCTCTGTTCATCTTACCCGCCCCTGGGAGCAGCCCCCGTGTCGTCTCAATCAGACCCATCTGTGCCGAATACGCTGAAACACACACACACACACACACACACACATAGAGGACAGTTGAAGGTCTGAGCTGCTGAGTGCCATTAAGCTAGGGAGGGCATAAAGTCTGACTGATGCCTCCGTCAGAGCAATAGACGTAAACACCTGCTCACCTAGCTCATCAGCCCTCAGCCAATCACCAAACTGCCACGTCTAATATAACCAATCACATGTAGATCAGGTTCCTGAACAGCTGGGCAGATGTGTCCAGCCTCACCAGCTATCATTAGTCACGGAGCTCATTAGAGGATCATTAACGGTGGGTGAAAAACACACACTCTCCAAATGTCAACTTCTCAGGAACAACAACAGACTTGACTTTAGCCTGACCACTGTGTATTTAAATTGATCTGAAATCATTAACCCCTTTCAGCACGGTTTTGTAATGACTGACCACCTCTTGTTCAGGGTAAGCGTTTCCTCTGTCCATAAATAAAACACAAAAATCTTCAAGCTGTTACCAGACACCCCCAATAATGTACCCAAAATAAAAAAGGTTACTGTTCTTCAACACTTTAGATTACAGTCACAGCGCTGGTCTCCTCTGAAAGGTCTCCCTTTAATAACCAAAAAGTCACAATGACTACAAGAGATACTGAAACAAAGTTACAGACGCACAAACAAAAAACGTAATAATATTTTTTTTTGCATTAATCGATTAATCATTTTGTCTATAAAATGGCAGAAAACAGTGAAAATGCCTGTTATAATTTGCCACAGCTCAAGGTGTCATCTTTAAATGTCTTTAAATGTAGAGGTTAATTTCTACTTTCATGTCTGACAAAGAAAAGCATCAAATTCTCATATTTAAAAAGCTAAAATTACATTTGGCATTTTTGCTAAAAAAAAATGATTAAAATGATCATTCAGTTGTCAAAATAGATCCTGATTAATTTTCAGTCAATTGACTGATTGATTAATTGATGAATGGTGGCAGCTCCAGAAACGGTAGCGTTCACATTTCTGCCCATGTTTATGTATGGACATTGTCTGACCTTGTAAAACTAATGACACAACCGTTAAAGGGCGCACACGTCTATCAGCCCAGATTGTTCCACTGGAACAGGTTCGAAGGTGTAACACTCTCCAGTATTTCACCACAAAAAGGCAGAATTCAAGATTTGATTTAAAAAGTAATCATAATTTTGTGTGGCAGAAATGTTTTTCTTCTTAACTTCCTAACTTGTTAATCAATCTTATGTCCTAATCTACACTCTACACTCTAGAGAAACGGCCCTGAGTGGATGTTTCTATTCGCTCCAACATCCCGTTTGGAGTCGACCACTGATCTAATATTACTGGATCTGTGACAGCTGTGAAGTGAAATTGAACTTGCTCTCCAACCCACTGATGTCCCCTAAATGTGGCGTTAATAGGCAGACTCATCCAGTTCTAGGTTGAAGGTTCAGCTGTCACTCACCTGCAGTGCGGAGGTCACAGGCCAACGCTAGCTCCAGTCCACCTCCCAGGGCAACGCCATCCATGGCTGCGATGGTTGGCACGGGCAACGAAGCTACAAAGGTCATGACAACAAAGAGAGGAAAGTTCACAGCGACTGCTGTACACGCATGCAAAAAAGGCGAGGCTAATCATTCAACCATCCGTTCTTACCTATCTGAGTCATGAGCGAACGCAGGCCGTGAACAAACAGATCAGACTCAGTGTTGTTCATGAGAGCTCTCTCTTTCAGGTCTGCACCTGTACATGTATATATAAACACACACACCATGACACGGTGTAGACAGGCCTTGATAACAAATGCCCGGCAGCTTTGAGACGTCTCAGAGGACACTAACCTGCACAGAAAACCTTTGGTACCAAACTCCTGAAGACAATCACACGCACAGTTGAGTCATGGGACAGAGTGGACATCAGCTCCCTCATCTGCACTCACAGGACACAGTGTCTCAGTGTGTGTGTGTGTGTGTGTGTGTGTGTGTGTGTGTGTGTGTGTGTGTGTGTGTGTGTGTGTGTGTGTGTGTGTGTGTGTGTGATGTAGAGGTCTGCTCACCTGTGAAACAAACACATGGCCCAGAGCGTTTCTTGCCTTGTGTCGGCACATCAGCACCTCCACTATCCCTGAGGAAGACAAAGCAACAGGAGGGAGAGAGAGAGAGAGAGAGAAGAGAGAGAGGGCGAGGGCAACAGCCAGCAATTCATTTTCATGGATTGTGATCAATTGGCTGCTTTTATTAATGATTTCAGCATTTCATGTTTCCCACTGTGATCTCGATGTACACAGCTGTTGCAGGAAAGTGTCTAAAATCACAGGTTATAAAACAGATCCTGGTGCAGCTTCCTGTGCAGAGATTGATTTGTATTGATTTCCCCAGAGAATCTAACAAGTTCCTTCAACACAACAGCACCGTTTAATAATGTTCCAGAAATGCCTCCACCTGTGGGAATATAGGCTGTTCTTCTTCAACAACTAAGCAAGTACAGACGTTTGACATTTACAGGAAATACAGGCTTTATGCTGCAGTATAAGATGGGTGGCGGAGAAGGTGCCCGTCAAACAGCTGTTAACTGAAAAGCGACTTTGTCAGCGTGAATTTGATTGTCTTTTTTCTTTTTTTAAACATTATACGTGCGTCCCTACCATCATCCCCTCCTTCTAACCGCTTTAAATCCACCTCTACAGGATCTGCCGCCTCTGTGTGCTGCCCCCGGATGTACCCGCGACTGTATCCCGTTAAAGGGCGACTGGCACCGGCCAGCGTTCGCGCTCCGTCCCGGGAAAGCAGATTGGTGGTTCGGCTGCGCGATTCCCGCAGAATCGCACCCAGGCATCGCCACGATGAGCACCTCGGCCCGGCCACTCTGCGAAGGAGCGTTGTCATGCTGGTTGACGTTGCGTTGTTAAGTTTTCCAGAAGCAGGAAGACCGCTCTACAAAGTTGTAGAAAACTTGCAGGAAGTTTGAAGCAGGTTTCTTCCTGTGAGAGGAGGGACTTGGCTGCCCCTGATCTGGCCGTCACATCAGCAGTGTCAACACCTGACAGGTTCACATAAGGTAATACACCACGTCACTGAATCTGAAATGTTGAAGGGACACACACACACACACACACACACACACACACACACACACACACACACAGCCTGCTGCCCTGTCTCTGTAGTGTCCAGTCCAGTCTTTGACCAGACAAAGCAGGTTGTTGAGGTAAGGTTTTCCATCAGGCTGCCCATGTCTAGCCTGATCATCCATTATTGAGCAGATCTTTACAGGTGGTGCAATGACACAATGGGTCTGATGGCACAACAGTCTGTGAGAGTGTGTGTGTGTGTGTGTGTGTGTGTGTGTGTGTGTGTGTGTGTGTGTGTGTGTGTGTGTGTGTGTGTGTGTGTGTGTGTGCGCGTGCACATGATCCAAACTTTGTCATACGAAATGACCAATTATAAAATATTACAAAGTCATTTTAGCATCCAGGAACATCAGATTACATTTAAATTGATCAGATTACTTTCCCTCCGCCACAGCACGCACATTTTTATTGTCCGTTTTATTGCTGCCTGGCTTTGTTTACTCTTCCTAATTAACATGGATGGAAATGACTCTGGGCAGTGAATCACATTCATTTGCGATTGAGATGTAAATGTATCATAAGTGCAGAGTGTAGGTGGATGTGTGTGCTGCAGGGTGTTGGGTCAGGAGGATGTGGATAGATGGGAAACTGAAGCTATAGCCATAACTGCATTGATGCACATTAATTAAACGCTGACCAGAGAGATAGTGGATAAAACAGACAGAAAGAAGGAAAGAAAGAAAGGATTGAGGAAACAGGTAAAATATGAGATGTGTTAAATTTAAATGTTAAACCTGAGGAGGCAGTGTTTGAGAGGTAAAGGGAGAGATTTCAGACTTGCATATCTGTTGCAGTAGAGTGAAATGTCACCTGGCGGATTTGGAAGGCAGTAGTTTGTTAAGATTTGATGTCTGGCAGATGTGCCGTCCTCTTCTCATGTGTACGCTCCTTGAGATGGAAAACTGATGGTAGGTGGCACTCACTGTTCAAGTGTGCGGGTGTGTGAGTGACAGGATCTGAGCCTGCTGGACTGTGACTGAGGCAGACAGTTTGTCTCTGGATTCAGGATTACTCAGAGTAGACACACATCACATCTGGAACATACTGGCCAACGTTGTTATGAGTGTCACCAAAAAGGACAAAGAAGGCGAGAGAAGCTGTTTTGTCTAGTGTAGCACCATTTTCTGGCTCTAACTGGACAGATTCACATCTCCCAGGCACAACGTACCTGATGCCAACCACACAGCACTTCCCCTCCAATCCTGCAGGGGTCAGCCTTGTATCAGAGAGTCGACTACAGGAGCGTGGACTCTGTCCTGTTGCTGCTCTGCTCCTGTTGCCCTCTAATGCAGTCACAACTTGTGTTAGTGACGTCTGGACCTTTGCTGGCTCCTTCCATCCACTTGTGCCCACAGATATGAGCTTGTTGGAAAAGGCTCTTCCCTCTCAACCTCCTCCACAGATCAGCGTGTGTACACTGCAACAGACCGGCCTCCGTCTCATCAAAGCCTGGGGCTGAGATGGGGCGGGGAGGCCTGGCGATGGGGCACAAGGCCCGGCATGAGTCAGAGGGAGTGAGTGGCATCCTGTTACTGTAGCTGTCTGTCAAGATCTAGACGGCAGTGATTTGCCCAGGGCGTGTACAGTGTTTTTGACCTTTGTGTCAGACGTTTTATCACACAGACATACGTAAAACTAACACACGGAGCTCTCTTTGATAGGCTTAGTCTACATTCACGGGCTTTTTGCTCCATATCGCAGTCACAATCCCTCAGGCTGGTGTTAACTCATGTAAGGAGCAAATTTACTTATGAAACCATAGAAGAAAACAAAAGCTGTGTGACACGGTCGTGTTTGTTCTCATGTATTTGTGTTGGTAGGTGTGTGTGTGTCCTTGAGTGTGTATGACAGGAATTGGGTGGCTGTGATCATGTGAGCAGATTAACTCCATGAAAGTGCGCAGAAGCAGAACCAACACCGAACATCCCATCAACATGAAGAAGTGGAATCTGTGACTCTTGCTAACATTCATATATTACTGATCAATACTATATGTAAAAACTTCAAAAACATATTAAAGAGTAAGTCTGCTGATATTCTATTTATTTCATCCGTGCCATAAACCTTCATTGTTGACCAAAGACTATGAAAAACACATCTACGAGCCGCAGCAGAGGGCGACAATAAACACGGGCACTGTAGTTAATTTTTACCCAGTCCCACATACACTGTCCTGTTGCAGTAAATACTCACTAGAGCTTCAAACATGTATTCATCCACAGCAGAAAATAGTCCCCAACAAATGCACAAATTACTCGTGTTTGAATAGAGTTCGTTACAAACTACAGTGCCCAGCCGTTTAAGAGAATTATTTACCTTTCTTCAAAGATGAAAGTGCATATTGATGATTCATTTATAAAGAAAACATCTTCAGTTGTAATGATTTGGTTTGAGGTTGAGAATCACAGACAGGCTAGAAAAGTGGAGAGAATCAAGAGATGGGCTAACACATTGTTAGTTTTGGTCTTTTCGTGGCATTTTGTTAACAAGAGTGAAAATATAGAAACTGACACAGATGAAATAGGCTCATTTTCCTCCAGGCTTGTCCGTCCTCTGTCAAGCTTCTTTTTTTTCAATAAAGATACATGAGACATCATGTGTTCTCCGTGCACAGCATAGTCTTTTTTATAGCAATACAGAGACAGCAATAAATTAAATTTAAAATTTACATGCTGTCTCTTTATGTTTAATTTTCTCCATCCCCAGCGCCCATGCACACCCACACACAAACACATCGCCTTGTGAAGAGGCAGTCAGGGTGACAGATAGATGATAGTACTCTTGGTTCAATTACATTAGAATGATGGAGTTGGTTATGTGCTGCAAAAAAAAAAAAAAAAGAGCCTCAGACTTACAGCCTGAACGATAGTGGAGCAAGATGGGAGAAGAGTTACGACCACACTGAGCCACAGGCAGAGAAAGCCAAAGAGGAGTTATAGCAATGCGCTGTGGAGGAGTTAAGGGCCAGAGTTCAGCCTAGACTGAATATATTCACTGCTGTCAAAAACTTTCACTTGTCATTATTTAGTCTGGGGATGCGACCAAAGAAAGACTAAAAATTGTGAAGTAATGCGTATGAGGCAAAGGTGAGTGACACCACTGATGGCAGAGGTGCCCCCTCCACCCCTCCACCCCCCCTCACTCAGGGTTGGGGATCAGACCCAACGTCTGGCAGTTGACAGCTGACACTGCACAAACCCTTATTAAAAAATAAAGATGTTTCCCTGCTCAGCCTGGCCCACATGCTCCACACACACACACACATACACACATACACACACATGCACACACTGTATCTTATCATAAAGGCACGGCACATCCATGCAGACAGTCATGACACATACACATGTACTACACACACATGAGCATACAACATAAGACCTCCAAATATCATGTATCCATGAGACGCAACTGTGTAAACTCACACACACACACACACACACACACACACACACACACAAACACATACGCGCACATGGATAGACACAAGCACCTCTGGAAGCTGACACCGTTTGGAGCAGTCAGGGAGAAAAGTTACATTAATGATGCTGATCGCCAGGCTTTACCGAGGCAGTTATCTGCGAACACGATCCAGCCGGGCCATTTAGACAGCAAACCCATGACAGAAGGAGCAGACAGAAACCGACACTGATCAAATAGGCTCATTTTCCCCCAGGCTGCTCTGGCCTCGGCCGAGCTTTTCTTCCATAATAATACATCAGACTGAAGATAGATATCGGTGCCTGGCCACACTCTGAAATGAAAGAGTCAGATCTGTAATATTTTACAGCCTGTCATCCATGTGAACCCTCAGTATGAAGCTGTGTCTACTTGTGTCCCCTCATCAGTGAGGAGTGAGAACTTCAGATGAAGACTTATTTTCTCTTCTCAGATTATTTCAATTGAATAACCTTTTTAAACATTAAAGGGGCAAAATTAAATACTATTTCATGATAAAAGTATAGCATGTAGAGAAAAGTCCAAAAAGTAAATGTCATTTTGTGTGGCAGGATTTTTAGTTTTTATTGTTCCCTAAGCCTGTAATCATCTAACAGCTCCTTAGTTTCACCTTGCAACCCCTTTATAAGGTTCGAAACCCCCAGGTCACCTCTTTAAAGGAGAAGATGGGATGACACCACTCTCACATCTGTGCACAGGAGTTATCAGCCAGTTAGATAGTCACAAAAATGCCTGCAAATGGAAAATCGGCACTTTTATACTTCTGTATTTGTACGGATCGAATAAAGGAGATATAATGTGTTAATCAAATAGGTGCTGAGAAGAGCCAGGCTAGTTGTTCCCCCAGTTTTCAGTCCAAAGCTTAGCCAGATTTAATTCTGGTGTTGATCTCCTCGTCTCACTCCCGGCAAGAAAGCCATGAAATGTATGTCCCCACATGTAACACTGTTCCTTTAAATCAGAATTTCATAGAATCTGGGAAAACAGCACTAGGTGCTACTTGAAGACCAATGACCTCTGTGTGACCTCTGCAGGAAACAGGCTTGAAATGCATCTTGTATACAAAAAGTGTAGCTGGTCACTGATCAGTAATCATGCTCGCAACATTTTTTTTTTACCTCTTTACCAGCCTAATTCTTATTTCTGACACACATAGCACAGTGGCATGACAAATCTGTGGTTAGGATGACAACTATCCCACCACTTGGCATAACGATACAATATTTCTTCATTATGTCACTAATTCAAAAGTCTACCTTCAACTGCTTCTGTTATTGAATGACACAGTAATGAGACACAAGTGGCCACAGTCAACAGCCTGTCAGCCTCCTTCCAATATTCAGACAAGCGCACAGATGTGGACAGCTGAATGTGTGACTTCACTGCCTTCTCAAATT